TTTCCCTGACGACATACGATGTGGGGTATCTTTCCACATGCTTATTTGCTATCTGTATCTCTTCTCTGGTGAGATGTCTGTTAAATGTTTGACCCATTTTTTAATTGGGTTATCTGTTTTCTTATTGTTGAGTTTTAAGAGTTCTTTACGTATTTTGTTTAACAGATGTGTGTCTTGCAAATATTTTCTCCCATCCGTGACTTGTCTTCTCATTCTCTTAACATTGTCTTTGGCAAAGCAGAAGTCTTTAACTTTAATAAAATCCAGCTTATCAATTATTTCTTTCCATTTAAAATTTTAAACATAAAAATAAGAACTCCAAGAGGTCACAATAAAGTAACTCAGGTTAAGTTTCTTCTTTTTTATAACTACTGTGCTACTGTTTCTAATCTACTTTTAAATGCAAGAATATGTAATAAGACAGGGACTAGGGACATGAAGTATGCCCAAAACAAGTTTAAACAATTCCAAACGGTTATGAACATACTTTCAAAATGACTGTATGAAGCTAAGTCCCCATGAGCCTCGGGACAACCATATAAAAGTTCTCCAAATTCACTTCCATGTAGAATATAATATTTATTAGAGGGTTAATAATAAAAATATGCTATGTTGAAGCCTACACATATGGTATTAAAACTCAAGTACAATTGCACACATGGGTAAAACAGACCAACAAAAGATTTTGGGGGGAGGAATATTTTATCACTGATGTTGCACAGAATTGCCAGAACATACTACTAATAAAAGACAGGCCACCTGTCGTCTACACACAATGCAACCACTTGCTGCCTACACCCAATGCCAACTGCTGCCATAGCCCACTCTGGGTAAGCCACTGCCTGTAGCCATTTTGGAAATGTTTAACTTTGACAGGGAGAAAGATAAAAGAAAGGTGTACTGAGTTGAGCAGTGTTTCCTCAAAATACATGTCATTCAGAAACTCAGAATGTGACCTTATTTGGAAAAACGGTCTTTGAACATGCAGTTAGTTAAGTTAAAATGAGGTCATACCAAATTAGGGTGGGCCCTAATCCAGTGGCTAGTATCCTTATAAGAAAAGCAGAGGGACTTCCCTGGTGGTGCAGTGGTTAAGAATCTGCCTGTCAATGCAGGGGACACAGTGCAATCGCTGGTCCGGGAAGATCCCACATGCCACAGAGTAACTAAGCCCATGAGCCACAACTACTGAGCCTGCGCTCTAGAGCCCGCGAGTCACCACTACTGAAGCCCGCGTGCCTAGAGCCCGTGCTCCGCAACAAGAGAAGCCACCGTAGTGAGAAGCCCACGCACCACAACGAAGAGTAGCCCCCGCTCACCGCAACTAGAGAAAAGCCCACGCTCAGCAACAAAGATCCAATACAGCCAAATGTAAAGAAATTAAATTAAATTATCAAAAAGAAGGAATGATTGATTTATTGATCTGAAGGGGTGATAATGAGATACAGCTAATTGAGAAAAAAAAAGAAAAGAAAAGCAGAGGCACACACAGGGAAAAGGCCATATGACGACAGAGGCAGAGATTGGAGTGATGCACCCACAAGCCAAGAAATGCCAAGGACTAGCAGTAACTACCAGAAGCCAGAGGAGACAAGTAAGGATCCTCCCCTGAAAACTTCAGAAGGAACATGACCCTACCAAAACCTTGATTTTGGACTTCCAGCCTTCAAAATTGTGAGAAAATAAATTATTTTTATCTTAAGCTACTCATTTGTTATGGCTGTCCTAGGAAACCTGGGAAATACAGAAGGAAACACACTTCACATCTCTGTGGACCCTCAGTATGGATCAAAAGTACAGAAGTGGTCAGAAAAACACCTTGATTATTCTGAATTCCATATTTTTTGGCTATGTGCTTTTAAGGTCTTGAGAGACCCAAGAGTAGCACTTTGAAAGAGGAAGTGGCACTGGGACCTCTTTCTGCCCTGTGCATATTGCAAAGATGAAACTGGGAACTCAAGAAACAAAGAACAAAGTGAAGTTTTTAAAAAACAAAACAGTAAAGGAAATCTCCGTTATTTTTCTAATTGTAATAGCTAGGGGCAATCTTTTACCTCTTCTGGCTTGGGAACTGTGCAGTATAATTTCTGATTGTGGAATACATATGATTACACTTTTTTCTTTCCCTACAGTAATTTAATTGGAGAATCTTGATGCCAGGTCAAATATAAACGGCAACTACCTTCTCTTGCTTTCAGCAAAAAGATTTACCTTATATAGGGAATACTTGGAAGAGTCTTACAAAGTAAGTTGTGCTAAAGTGAAATATCAACTAAGTGATTTCCTAGTTTTCCAGAAAGGTAAACCATAACAGTCATTCCAAACTATTTATTATGCCCTTAACACACATACTACCTAGGCAATTCAATACAATCAATTAGTAGAATACAAATATTCAATTAGAGCAGAAAATGGCAAAAACAGTCATGGGGAGGAGTTTCTTTTTTATTCCATTTACCCAGAGTAGCCTCTCCCACTACCATTTAGACACAAAACTTTCTTTTGTGTTAAAAAATCAAGTTGCTTTCCTAAACTGATAAAGCCAACTCTCCCAGACTCACATTCGAAGGTCCCTCTTGAAATAACTTGCTTGACAGACTTTATAATATCCCAACATTTGCTTTTATTTTTTAATTAATTTTTTTTTTTTTTTTTTTTGCGGTACGCGGGCCTCTCACTGTTGTGGCCTCTCCCGTTGCGGAGCACAGGCTCCGGACGCGCAGGCTCAGCGGCCATGGCTCACGGGCCCAGCCGCTCCGCGGCATGTGGGATCTTCCCGGACCGGGGCACGAACCCGTGTCCCCTGCATCGGCAGGTGGACTCTCAACCACTGCACCACCAGGGAAGCCCTAATTTATTTATTTTTGAAGTACTCATTAATTATCTCCCCTCATACTTAAACCATTTGCTCCGAAGTTACTCCTTTTAACAACACCAACAAAAATCTCAGTCATCAAGATATTCTTTCCCGTCCAAAAGAAATAGAGTCAGCACTTTCCCTTCCCCACAGCACCTGCATTCTTTTTCTGACCCAGTACATCTCTGCCTGCATGGGCTGCAACCAAAATCTGTAACTTCCCCAAGGCGTTCCTTCGGAGACTGTGCTGTCGTCTTCTGACGTGCCCAGTAAACAAAAGATTAAAACGCATACGTCTAATGTCGATGGAAGACAGGCAAGAAAGATATAAACCTAGCAATATGGATTTCAGTGAGATACTTTAAAAACAGAAATATTTTTGCATAAAGCAAGCCCAGGATAACAATGAAACCATCAGGAAACATGAGCAGTAGAGAGCAGGTAGGGAGAGGCCAGTGATGAAGGAAGAATTCCCCTCTGACGCAGTACCGAGTGTTAGCGAACATGGGAGCGTGCAGAGTAAAGGTGAAATACAAACACTTTGGAAAACAATTTAGCATCCTCTGTAAAAGCTGAACCCATGCCTACCCTATGATCCAGCAATCCCACTCCAGCAGGAATGCTGCTGGGGGCATATGTGCTCCGAGTGTCATACGATAAAGTTCATAGCAGCATTATCCGGGAAAGCCAAAACTGGAAACTACCCAAATTCAACAGCAGAATGTGTAATACAATGAAACAGTACAACGCAATGTAAGTAAACAAACTACAGCTACACACCACAACATATCTAAATGTCACAAATATAATGTTGAGCCAAATTAGCCAGTCATAAAAGAATATAAACTATGTGGTTCTATGTACATAACATTTAAAAACAGGCAAAAATAAAATATAGTGTTATAAGTCAGGACAGTGGATCTTCGGGAAGGAAAGGGGGCAGTGACTGGGGAAGCTTGCACAGTGGGGAAGCTCTGAGGTGCTAGTAATGCTCCTGTTTCTGGATCAGGATGACAGTCACGTGAGTGTTCATTTTCTGACCATTCGTTAAGTGTTCCATTTATGTTCTGGTTTTTTTCTCTTGTGTGTTATACTACACAATAAATAAATAAAAAGAAATCCCAGTCTGACACATTCCCACCAACTAAAGGCTGGAAAGAAATCAAACTGAGAGATTCCTGCCAGGAAACAGACAATGACGGCACATAGCAGTCGAATTTCTTGCTTGCTGAAACACTGGCAGGTCTGAAAACATTAAGAAATTCGGGACTGCCAAGAAACTGAATTCCCTGGAAGACCTACGCTGGATGGAAACAAAAGTGAATTAGGTATCAGCTCTCTTACCAAATTTGGCAATAACCTATACTTTTAATCTAAATTTCAAAAGCAAACATTGATTCCCGAAACTTGCAAAACAGCTCAAATTTTTAAAGCATCCTGGTTTCCTCTTTTGAGCAATCATGGAAGTGCAGGGAGGCACAAGAGATCATTCAATCCAACCTCTACCATCCCAGTCAAGTGGACAAATAGACAAACACTCTTTAGAGTTCCCACTGCCAATGAATTCTGAGATGTTCCTCAGTTACCTGTTCTAGAATAAACAACCTTGACTAGGGCATAGCCTCTCCTGAGAGTAACCTTGATCTTATATGCTCCACTTCAAGCTCTTGTCCTGCCCCACACCTAAATGAAAAAATACCATAGGGCTTCCCTGGTGGTGCAGTGGTTGAGAGTCCGCCTGCCTTTGCTAGGGGACGCAGGTTCGTGCCACGGTCCGGGAAGATCCCACATGCCGCGGAGCGGCTGGGCCCGTGAGCCATGGCGGCTGAGCCTGCGCGTCCGGAGGCTGTGCTCCGCAACGGGAGAAGTCACAACAGTGAGAGGCCCGCGTACCGCAAAAAAAAAAAAAACACAGTAGGAGAATATTTATAAATAAAATAATGTGCAAAGTCTGGTCCATTAAAAAATATAAATATACACATACCAGAAGCTTTTGAATGAATATAACTATTACTACTAATTATCTCTGAGTCGTGGGGTTGCAGAAGTTTTGTTGGTTTCTTCCTTTCCTACAAAGATCTGTATTGCTATTTTAACAAGAAATATACTTTTTTTTCACAAATATCTTAAAGTATTTGCTTACCTTAGCTGATTTTTCAAAACTTAAGCCTCCATCCAGCTTAAAAAGAACTGTCATGTTGTACCCAGTCTGGTTTCCATGTCCATGAGGCCACCAAGTTTCTATAGTAACACTCTTTTAAAAAATAATATATCAGTCTAAGTAATCTGTGGCATATTTTCAGCAAAATAATATAGTAATTCAGAGCATCACATCAATTTCTCATAGACAAGCACAGAGCAATATAAATCTCTCTCCTTGTATTATGCCAAATTATACAAATCCATAGATAATATTTAAAAATCAACATGCTAGGAGTTTAGCATGGATTAATATACCAGAAGGGAAGGGAAATAACAAAATAACATGGGCATTCAGAAAAACAGCTCTTCCCATTGCAACACTCAGCTAACATGTATTCTACATTCTTAACATTTAGAATTGGACTTTGAGGTTAACTCTTCTTTCAAGCCCAGAACTAGAAAAGCATTTTGAGTTCTTTATCTGAACAGTTACTGAATGCTGATTTGCTCTATCCTTTTCAGCTCACAATTGTCAATTAGAGGAATAAAAAAAGGTAAAATCCAGTTCACTCCTACTTACGAAAGATCATAAGTTTAGAATTAGAATTCTGTATGTAGAATAAGTACCAATATTCAAAATAGTTTACAAATACCAAAAATAATCACAGCATTGAAGTAGGATGCTTAGAATGTATTTTGGATTTAGGATACTCCAAATACTGCAAAAAAATTAAAATATAACACACCTGACTTTTTGAGAGGAGAGGATGCCAAATTAGTCACGTAACCTCCGTTTTCTTAATCTTAAAATTTGGGAAAATCATTCCTTAGCTTGCACACACACAAAATATATAACAGATTAAAAGTAAAGAAAAAAATGGAAAAAGTACACTTTTCTTTAATACTCAGGTCCTTTTTTCTAAGCATTTCTTTTGAACAACACTGCTTTTCATCTTAGTGCTTCTCGGGAAGTACCATCATTCACCTTGTCAATTTTCACAAAGAGTTTAACAATCCTTTCCCCATGATGAAGTTCAACGCTGTTTGTCTGTTGTATTTTTAATTCAGGGATGGCTATAATCGCTTGACCCAAAACTGGCTTTGAACTGATAACATCAAAAGAAGACTCTATTTCAAGATTCCACTCCTGGATATTATTATCTAAGGTACCAAGAGAAAAAGAAAAAATACATATATATTATGTAGGATTCACTGAAAAAAAGGCCAACGCAGCTTCTAAACTATAAGTGCTCCACAAATGCAATCCTGATCAAAAGTTCAGTGAAAATTCTCTTTTAATGTTTAGAGTTTAATCCTTAATTCCGAAGAAGAATAACCAAAATTATATTTTATATATACTTCTACTCTAAAAATGTTACAATCATAAGTCACAAAAACTTTATAAATATGGCACAAATAGAAAATTACAAATGAAAAGATAACATAAATCTTCCAAGATTTATCAGTCTTGATTTATCAAACATACTTGCTTGTTCCTTTTTATAAGGTAAAAACACTGAGGGTTTTTAAGCCATATAATAAGTTAGAAACTTAGGTGTATTAGAATTAATCCAATGTGGAAAAAATAAAGATGCATTTTAAATGTAATTATTTATCCAATAAATGTGTACTGAGAACCATCTAAGTGCCATGTTCTTTGCTAAGAGATGGGACTTAAACAGTCACCAGGGTAAATAAACATGGCCCCTGCCCTCATGAGCTAAGGGTCTAATGGGATGTGGACAAGTACAAATGTGTGATAATACTAGGATAGGAGAATCAAAGGTTGTTTAGAAAAATATTCATATTCCCTTTACCACATTTTTATTGTTCTTAAACAGAAGCACACACTCCAATCTGATCCAAAGCTGTTTATTTTCTAAAACATCCCTAAATCTTTGACAGCTACCTCACCTTTAACTCGAAATCATATTCCCTCTGGTTTCCCTCACTATCTCTTATTTCAAGAAATAATAATAGATAACATTTACCAAGATCTTACTATGAGCCAGGCATTGTTTTATGCTCTCAACAAGTATTAACTTATTTAAGCATCACACCATTGCTATAAGGTAAATTCCACTACTATCATCATTTTATAAATGAGAAAACTGAGACAGAGAAATTAAGTAACTTGTCCAAGATCACACAGCTAGTAAGTGGCAGATGTGAACCAAGACAGTCTAAAACTAGAGACCTCGAAAACATTTAACCTCTAAATTCTGCCAACTCAATCCACATAATTTCCCCCAAACCACATCTTAGTGGTGCTCAGGAGTTTTACAGTGGGCAGAGGATCTTATTATATAGGAGAACATTTAACAATGTCAAGCTATGCTAGACATCAAATATGTCCTTTGGCTGAGTCTTTGACCAAAACAGCACAGATTCACAAAACTGGTGAACTAGAAGTATGCTGACAGATCACCTGGTCTACTTTCCGATGTGTTTGATTCCCTCTAGACCACAGGCTAGCAAACTATGGTCCTTGGGCCAAATCTGGACCACCTCCTATTTTTGTAAATAAAATTTTATTGGAACACAGCTGCTATGGACTGAATTGTATCATTCCTCCCAAAATTCATATGTTGAAGCCCTAACCCCTAATGTGATTCTATCTGGATAGAGGGTTTTTTTTAGGAGGTAATTAGGTTAAATGAGTTCATAAGGGTGGGGTCCTATTCTGATAGGACAGTAGCCTTATAAGAAGAGGAAGAGATCCATTTCTTTCTTTCTCTCTCTCTCCCCGCACACCCCCTCAGCCCCCAACCACGTGAGAACACAACTAGAAAGTTGGCCATCTACAAGCCAGGAAGCAGGCCGTCAACACAAAGCAAATCAGCCAGCACCTTCATCTTGGACTTCCCAGCTTCCAGCACTGTGAGAAGTCAATTTCTGTGGCTGAAGCCGACCAGTCTTTGGTATTTCATCATGGCAGCCCAGCAGGCCAGACAGCAGCCACGCCCACATTTTACGTATTGTCTTCGGTCGCCTTCATGCTACAAAGGCAGAGTTGAGTAACTGCAACAAAGGCCATATGGCCCAAAAAGCGAAAATGCTCACTAGCTGACCCTTTACAGAAAAAGTTTGCTGATCTCTACCCTAAGATATTTCCCCCGAAAGGCCATTCTAATCTGTCTTTAATATCTTTAATATAATAACAAAAACCTCTGCCTCCCTTTCTGCTAGCCTTGACTATTGGAAAGTCGTCCTCTACACTGATGTGAAATCCACTTTTCTTTCATTTCCACCTAGAGATTTTAGTTCTGCCCTCTAGGCCTCTCCTACCAACCAATAACCACCAAGTTCAAGCACGCTCCCTGGGACTTCCCTGGCGGTCCAGTAGTTAAGATTCCGCCTTCCAATGCAGGTGGCACGGGTTTGATCCCTGGTCAGGGAACTAAGATCCCACATGCCGCGCAGCGTAGCCAAAATTTTTTTTAAAAAGGCAGGCTCCTTGGCCGTTTCCTATCACTTCTTCAGCAGAGAATCAGCTGCTTGTAAGGGCCTCCAGAAGGAAGACAAACAGAGTAATTCCCAAAGGTTACTGGCAAAATTGTCCAGTTTCTATTGCTTCTAACATGGAAGGTTCTAAAGTAAATCGGCACCCCTCTGGAGCTCATCCTGTTAACTCCCTCGGGTGCCACTAAATGAAAAAACGAAAGCTGAGGAATTAAAAACCCAGCATGAGGATTTACAAGCCTATCGTGTCATTACCAAATACCCTACAACAACATACTTTGCACTCTTTTCTTCTTCCAAATGAAGTACAACCGTTCCTTCCAGGAGGAGAATTCCATGGAGAATTTCAGTAGTTTAGGTTCACAGAGCATACTGAGAGTCTTAAATAATAATTTTCCTGGTATTACCTGGTCATTTCTTTTCACTGGCTAATTTTAAAATGTATAATCTTATTTCTAGTGAAGGAGAGCACTCCCTTATAAATCAAGACCCATTTCTAGAATGGAGCTTCCCAGCATATCTCTTCCAGCACTAACAAGTCATCCTTTCCTAAAGAATACCTATCACCCCCAGCTCTCCTGAAGTGGAACGCAAGATCATTTCAAAAATGGACAAAGTACCGGGGATGGGATAAGAAAGAAGAAAGTTTACTAAATGACTTAAAATCCCCTCCCAGGTCTCCCTCTCAAGGACACCAAGTTTTGCATCCTTCCTCACCCTGACTAATCAACCCTGGGCCCAAACAGGACAGGAACTCCTTATCAAAACAGGGTGGAGAGCAAGCTGATGAGCTCTCTCTACAACTTGAGGCCTTCCCTGGCCTGGAGCCTCAGCGATGTCCTAGCTGATGCCCTGCTCCCTGCAGAAGACACTACAGTCTATAGTTTGTTCCATTTAACCTCAACCAGGTGGGCAACCCAGGGCATGGCAGAGAATGTGGTTCTGGCCATTGACTCATTTTCAGATTCTTCCAAAGCTGATTCAGTGAGGTTTCTTCAAAAGCAAACAAACAAATCACCATGAGTCTGACTCAGATGGGAATTTGTAGAAAGGGTAACCAGCCTCACAGCCCAGATGAACGTGTGCTGCTTCTTCATGAAAACAATCTTCAGGAAAAACTCCAATTTGTGTAGATGTGGCCAATACATTTAACCTTTTCTTCTGCTTTAAATTTATTTGGCTGTGTCGGGTCTTTGTTGCGGCACATGGGATCTTCGTCGCAATGTGTGGGATCTTTTGTTGCGGCATGCGGGGTTCTCTCTAGTTGTGGCATGCAGGCTCTACAGCACGCGGGCTCGGTAGTTGCAGCACAGGGGCTTAGTTGCCCCGTGGCATGTGGGATCCCTACCAGGGATCAAACCCGCATCCCCTGCATTGGAAGGTGGATTCTTAACCACTGGACCACCAGGGAAGTCCCAGTACATTAACTTTTAAAACCTTCTAAAATGTGCCAGCTCCTTTTATAGTCCCATATAGTCCACTTCTTTGTCAAGATGTGGTCAGGATAAAAATTAAAAAAAAACAAAAAACAGCTTTATTTGGTTGTCTAAGAGAAAAAAAAAAGTATAGGAAGACATGGAGGTAGAAAAATAAGAAGACGGATGAATTACATTAATTCAAGTGTGTCCATAACTACAGAAAGAGTTACTCTCAAACTACACCTTAAGCCTTGCTTTAACTGATTGTAATTAAGCCTCAAATATCAGTACCTTCATTTAATCATATATCTAGCTTCAAAAAAAACTGGTTCTTCCACACTTATACCCTCACTAGGCTGTAATGAGTGCTGTAATTTACAAACACAGGGAAAGAACTGTAGAATGTTAGAGGCAAAAGAAACTTGGCCATCTCCTAGTTACTTTGCAGTTGTGGTATTTGAGGCCTTGACTGCAGAACTAGCTCAAAGCTCCCGAGCCAGTGGACAGGACAAGGGCCCAGGTTTCCTAACTCCAGTGCTCTCTACCTTCCACTCATCTCCCACAGAGGCGCCTATCAAAAAGAAAGACACTAGCAGGCACGCACAGATTGAAATTTGCATATGAATAATGAGGAAGACCAAAAGCAAAGGTGCTTTTTGTCCTTCAGAATCCTAAGTCCTAATAGCAAATATGTATAATGTGAAACAAAGCATTTGAAGGGACTGTAACCATAAAATATTAGCCTCTTAATATGAGCGTCTTTCTAAAAAAGAAAAAACACTGAAATCTACAAACATAAAGAATGTGTCTGACCTTCCACTAAATGCATAATTACATGGTGCCACAGTTCCTCCATTTGTCAAAACACTATCTTTGTAACCTAAACTACCTGACAAAGGCATGACAACAGTTATGTGAGCATTTCTGCCAAACAGTGGAAATATATTTCTTGAATAATTACCGTCTGTGAAACTTGACAGGCACTATAAATTATACCCCAATCACAAACAGCAAAGATGTTGAATCTACTTAAAGAAACAAAATATACCCGAAGGTCACAGTTAAGAATACAGGATGGGGCTTCCCTGGTGGCGCAGTGGTTGAGAGTCCGCCTGCCGATGCAGTGGACGCGGGTTCGTGCCCCGGTCCGGGAAGATCCCACATGCCGCGGAGCGGCTGGGCCCGTGAGCCATGGCCGCCGGGCCTGCGCGTCCAGAGCCTGTGCTCCGCAACAGGGGAGGCCACAGCAGTGAGAGGCCCGCGTACCGCAAAAAAAAAAAAAGAATACAGGATGGCATTTGGAAGGGCTAAGAACCAGCAGGGACATGCAAGCACACTCAGGTCAGCATGGGATGGATCTGCAAACATTGGTGGACGGCTCATGTAAGATGTAAAAGATGCTTCCTCTCACTGGGGGGCAAGCTATTCAAACATGGCTGCCCTGATTAGGCCTACTGAGCGCCTCCCAGCTCCGCCTCCTACCTGCTCGCTTCATCTTGCATCTTTCATAGGTGATGCAAAGCTGCAATGAAGAGATAGCCTTGTGCATCTGAAGGAACAGCAATGACAACGAGCCACAGAATGGTGAAATTCAAACATAGGATACATCCCCATGCTCCTGCCAGAATTAGAGGACAGACTACAGTAGCTGCTTTTCAAAGAGCTAACAGCTTGCATTAGCCAGAAAAGCAGGCTTATAGTTAGTTACAACAGCTGTTTTCCCCTTCTTTCCCAAGCAGCAAGATCTCCTTGCCTATTCAGCAGGACAAAATCCTCAAAGATGAAATCAAAACAAAACAGACACAAAGCAAAATCCCGCCACCCGCCCCCCCCACCAAACAACATAAATTGGTAAGTTCTAGAGAAAAAAAAAAATCGACTTACACAACAAGGCAGCTACTCAGAGATCATTCAAGCAACCTACCTACCCATAAATATATTTTCGAGGGTGAATACCATCATTTTATGGGTAATGAAAAAGTGATTCAAAATGAATGTAAGAAAAAAGTGAATGCATGCTTGCATTCAAAAAGGAATGCAATAAACAAGGCACTGAGCAAGACTGACAAATCTTTGCTACGTTGTAATATTATATTCTCTATATTAAGCTGTAAGCAAAGGGCAGCAATGACCTTCAATAAAGGCCACTATTGGGCAGGCTAGGGTCTAGCTAGGAGCTAGGCCCACTCTTCCAACTCAAAGCCTATGTCTTCAAGAATGAAGAGACGGGGTGCTTTAGGCTAAGGCCGCAAGTAAATGTGGATACGGTCGGGAAGGCAGCATCTCTGAGGAACGGAATTGCCCAAGCACAGGTCAAAGACCCACAGCTCACCTCAGCTCAACAGGAAGATATACATGTTGAAAAACATCTCTATTTTATTTCTTTCTAACTGCGGTAACAGAAGATTAAACAATGCAGTGTTTCATCAGAACATACTTATTATATATTTGGACTTAATATGTCTATGTAACCTTAAGAAAAGTTCATAAAACTAGACAACCATCCCTCCCTAACAAATTTTAGGGCCTAATATGAACAATTTACATCAGATTACAAATATGAAAGACTTAGCATGGAGATGATCAATAAATGAATATATGTCTATCTCTCTCTCACACACACACACACACAGACATTCAAATAAATATTTTCTAATGACGTTTTAGAGAAAGTCACATCAATAAGTTGGTATCTCTCAAAACCCAGATAAATGACAAGAGCCTAAGAGATAATGAGAGTAACTCTTGTTTCCCTTTGACCTCAGTATTTTTTCCAAATATAAATTTGCTTTTATTACCTTAAATATTAAGAATATGTGAAAATCATTTAGGAAGCTGAGGTTAGGGCAAAATCAAACAAATGACCAAAGGATATTCAAAAGTATAAAAGTTTAGAAACCACTATGCTAAGGATTAAGAATGCAGAAAAGAAAAAAAAAAAATATATATATATATATATACATAAAGCAAATTAATTCACAAAAATTTCAAGTTAGTTTTTAAAAGTCTAACAGCCTTTTTTCTGTCATATTTTATACAATTAAACTGGGGAACTATGGTTGGTCATTTGGTCTTTAGGGTTAAACTGACTAATTTTAAATTAAGAAATAAATTAAACATTTGGAAAAGCAAAAAGGTTATTTTCTTCTAGCCTCAATAGGCAGAAAGCAGAAAGTGCTACAAAGTCAAAGTAGTTTAGCCTTTCATAATAAGCTGGCTGAAATTACTAGATACTAGATTAGTTTAACTGCTTTCTTCCCTTATTATAGAGACAATATAGGCTCAATATAAAAATTTAGAAGAATAAAATACAAACTATCTGTAGTACTATTATACAGAGATTAGCCACTGCTTGCATTAGTTTTGACTAACCTCATTTCACACTTAAATTTTAAAAATGAATACAGTATTTGATTTTAAATAAAAATTACATGTATCTACTTTTGATTATGAACTAATCCTTTTAAAAAATGTTTAGTAACTCTCAATGCCTGCCTCAAACTGTGTACCAAATAAATGCAAAAAGTATCCAGAATATATTAGTTTATTCTCTATTATTTTCAACTTCTAAGTTTCTATTGATTTCAGTAATGATTGCTATCTTCCAAATACTAACTGAAAAAAAAAATTCTGAAAAAATCCTAAAGGAAGTTCCTCTCCTAATGCTTTCATAAGTTTATGCTTCAATTTTCTCTATTACATCAAGTAACCAAACTGAAATCTATAAAATTAATCAAAAATATAAGAATTACTGCTTAATATGCACAGGACACATCTTCTGAACAGGAAAGATATTCTTCCCTATGTTAAGTACAAAATATATTGTAGTCATAAAACATCAAAAATGTAGTTGATATGGATAACTGATTACACCGAGTCTAAATTAAATTTTAAGCATCACTTAAATTGATTTAATTCAAATAAAATTCACTCAGTCACTAATGGTGAATAAACTGAACCCTAATGACTCATACTCAGGAAGAAATGTTTAGCTTCATATTCAAAATTTTAAATTAAACTAGAGCAGTGTTATTCAAATTTTTTCAGATATCAGGATACCTGGAACTCACAGCACTTTTTGCTAACCACCTAAAACACTGATTAAACTTCAAAACTATTAAATAAATAACTTTTGGCAAAACCAGACCCCTTCTTACAGTAGGTTTTATTATATACACCTGAGAAAAATTACGGGTGGGGATGGGGGGGAGTGAACCATTATGTATTTGATTTCATAGCAAGGCTCAATTCGGGTTGAGCCTCTGAAGAAAAGTTTGAGAAACACTAAACTAGAAAGCTCTAAACAGCCACATTTATATGTGCAATTTACATTAGATCTTCCAATGCCTTTTAAGCATTTAAAAATGCCAGCAGCGGGCTTCCCGGTGGCGCAGTGGTTGAGAATCTGCCTGCCAATGCAGGGGACACGGGTTCGAGCCCTGGTCTGGGAAGATCTCACATGCCGCGGAGCAACTAGGCGCGTGAGCCACAACGACTGAGCCTGCGCGTCTGGAGCCTGTGCTCCGCAACAAGAGAGGCCGCGATAGTAAGAGGCACAGGCACCGCGATGAAGAGTGGCCCCTGCTTGCCGCAGCTAGAGAAAACCCTCGCACAGAAACGAAGACCCAACACAGCCAAAAATAAATAAATAAATTTATATAAAAAAAAAAATGCCAGCAGCACCTAGTAACTTCCTCAATTATCAACCGTCTCTGATATGCTTTTGTCTTCTGCCTTTAGAAAACACAGATCTGGCTCTATCGAAGAGCAATCTAGGGTCACCAGGGCCCTAAAGACAACAGAACTCTTGTATGGACACACCACATACTTGCTTACAGACTTCATCTAGTTAGGCCTGCAAGGAACTGGACTGAGCATCATGAGTTATCATTTAAAATCCCATTTGCCTCCACCTTCGCCCTGATTTCCCTAACTTCTCAATTCCTTTGATCTTGGTTTTCTGAACTACTAGGGCTGCCATCCCAAAGACTATGACACAATCTAGTTTGGCTTGATAATTGTTTATATCTCCCCTCCCCACCTCAACCAACTTGCAGGGATGAGTAAACACATTATACTTCTTTTCTATGCCAAATACACACAGTGCTGGGCAAAGAACTCAACAAATATTTGACCAGTTTTTAACCAATTCATTGACATCTGTGAGATTTCTGAGGTTTTCTTTAATGCTCCCTTCAACTGAAAAAGTAGTATTCTTTACCTTATAAGAGCTTCTTTAATGCCTTGTCTGTCTTCCAGTTTATTTTCAACTCTTAACAAGGCTGGTATGTCATGGCCTTCAGAGGAGAAAATGTGCAGTGACAGAAGTCAGCCCAATGATTTAAGCAAACCAAGAACTCAGCACCATGGAGTTTTGAAAGTGACTACAGGGGCAGCAAAAAGGAGTGCAAGCCAGCAGCCCAAATTCTTTTAAGAAACAGCTTGGGAGAACAGAACTTCCTTCCTTCCCTCCCTTCCTCTTTCCTTTCTTTTCTTTCTTTCTTTCCTCCCCTCATTTTTTATTTTTCAGAATATGTTAAAAGGTAGGTACCCACCTACTTAACTGCTTTATACAGTAAATTTTCATGACAGGGACTTCCTTGGTGGTGCAGTGGTTAAGAATCCGCCTGCCAATGCAGGGGACACGGGTTCACGCCCTGGTCCAGGGAGATCCCACATGCCGCAGAGCAACTAAGCCCGTGCGCCACAACTACTGAAGCCTGCGCACCTAGAGCCCGTGCTCCGCAACAAGAGAAGCCAAGGCAATGAGAAGCCGGCGCACCACAACATAGAGCAGCCCCCGCTCGCCACAACTAGAGAAAGCCCGCGCACAGCAACGAAGACCTAACACAGCCAAAAATAAATAAATAATTAATTTTTAAAAAATTTTCATGACAAATCAGTTTGTACATATTTTTCACTTTTCTAAATTTAATGTGCCAGAAAAATTTTTTTTAAATAAGTCTCTGAAAAGTACAGTTGTCCCTCGGTATCCACAGCAGATTGCTTCCAGGACCTGCTGGAGATACCAAAATCCACTGATACTCCAAGTCAGCCCTCCACATCCACAGTTCTGAATCGATGGATTCGACAGACCTCGGATCATGTAGTACTGTAGCATTTGTTGAAAAAAATCCACACATAAGTGGACCTGCACAGTTCAAACCCATGTTGTTCAAGGGCCAACTGTATATATATTCAAATTATAAACCCAATTTTTATAACATAGAGGAGGCTCAGAAAAGAAAAACAAGAAATCACAGCTCTTAGCTTACCATATATGGGGGTAAATGTGAAGTAGTTCAGACGACAAATATTATAGGCTTCAATTCTAACATCTTTCCAGATGCCCTGGGTAGGAAAGGAAGGCCCCCAGTCCCAACTAAAGGAACACTGTGCCTGCAATTTTAAGGGAAAAAAAGAAGATCGATTCTAATTACCATGAAACTTAAACATTATGAAAACCTTTTTCTTTTAAAATATTATGTACATGTGTACTAGTTTGCTAGGGCTGCCGTAACAAAATACCAAAAACTGGGTGACTTAAACAATAGAAATTAACTTTCGCATAGCTCTGGAGGCTGGGAAGTCCAAGATCAAGGTGTTGGCAGGTTTGGTTTCCTGGGCTTACAGATGGCCACCTTCCCACTGTGCCCTCACATAGCCTTTTGTATACACACACACAAACACACACACGCACGTCCCTAGTGTCTCCCTCTGTTGTCCAAATTTCCTCTTCTTATAAGGACATCAACCATACTGGATCAGCAGTAATCCTAACGGTCTTATTTAACTGAATCACCTCTTTAAAGACCTCATCTCCAAATAGAGTGACATTTTGACCTTACTGAGGGTTAGGACTTTAATATACAAATCTGGGGGGCACAGAATTAAGTCCATAATAGCGTGTGTGTGTCCCATATACAGCATCTAAAATGACCCAAAATGATCCTCTCCTGGTATTCAGGTCCTTGTGTAATCCCCTCCCCTTGAGTACAGATTAGACCTAATGAATCACTTCTAACCAACAGAATACAACAGCAGTGAGAGCACGTCCAAAATTAGGTTATAAAAGAGTGCACCTTCTGTTTTGGGTGCTCTGTCAGCTCTCTCTTGGCCAAGGGGGAAGTCAGCTGCCATGCTGTAAGGCAGCTCTGTAGAGAGGCCCACATGAGTGAGCCTGGAAGCCCATCTGAGGCCTGCCAATAACCACATGGGTGAGCTGAGGTAGGCCTCATCCAGGCTTAAGGTGACTGCAGCCCTGGTCCACAGCTTGCCAGTAACCTCATGAGTGACCTTGAGCCAGAGGTACCCAGCTAAGCCACACCTACATTCCTGACTGACAGAAACTGTGATAATAAATGTTGTTTTAAGCTGATAAGTTTTGGTATAATTGTTACACAGCAATAGATAACTAAAAAAATAATCTATCAACCTAGGAAACATAGTTAAATTTGGCAGAAATGTTCTAAGACCATAAAATCTAATTATGTACATTTACTCTTCAAAAGCATATTACACTGAAGCAACACAATAGTTACTCTTTAAATTTCTCCCAAATATCTCTGCACCCACTATTATATTTAAATGTAATAACTATAAAGAATGAAGAAACATATTGAAAGATAAAGATACAACAGTTTAAGAAACTCTAACTAGAGTTTCTTGCCAACTCCTATTTCCTCCAGTATGAATTCAGAAATCCTGGTTTCTGAACTTACAGCCCAAAACCAATCAGTTCAACCGGGACACAGTTGCAGAAGGCTAGTAATAAGAATCACTCATAAACATGAACCCTACAGTCTGGTGAAAAGTTTGATAAACCCAGGTGGTTTTTTAAAAAAATTGTAAAGGGGGAATTCCTTGGTGGTTCACTGGTTAGGACTCCACGCTTCCACTGCAGGGGGCATGGGTTCAATCCCTGGTCAGGGAATTAAGATCCCTGCAAGCATCGTGGCACAGTCAAAACAAAAAAAAAAAATTGTAAAGGTACATTATCAGTCACCTATATTTCTTCTTTTTCCAACGTTATCTAAGTTCTGAAGCACTCCTCAAGAAGGAAACCTAGAAAGACAAGCTCGCTACAAAAATTCTTGTAATTTTTGGTTCTTATTTCTTTCTTTTTTTTTTTTTTTTTTCGGTACGCGGGCCTCTCACTATTGTGGCCTCTCCCTCTGCGGGGCACAGGCTCCGGATGCACAGGCTCAGCGGCCATGGCTCACAGGCCCAGCCGCTCCGCAGCATGTGGGATCCTCCCGGACCGGGGCACGAACCCGCGTCCCCTGCATTGGCAGGCGGACCCTCAACCACTGCGCCACCAGGGAAGCCCTGGTTCTTATTTCTAATTTTTAAATCCCACTAAGGGGGCAGGAAAGAGATGCCCAACTTCTGAAATACAACTGGAGTCTTCAAACAAGCATTTCATATGCCCTCATCCCATCCTCAAGGCTAAAGCCCCTCCATTGCGAGACTGGTACCTTGCGAATAAAGTTGACATGACATTCGCCATCCTGCACACGCGGAGGGCAGTTGGGGGGCACGCTGTAGTGAGTGTGAACTTTACTCCTCTGGTCCGCATATATCACTGGTGACTGGAAATGCACCTCAAGGATGTTTATTGCTTGGACCACATGTGTAATATCAAAGCTCTAAATTAAAGGGAAAGAACAAATGTGAAAGTAGCCTCCTGTGTAAAATTTTAGATAGAGGCAGAATGCATGAAAGATGCATAAAATAACTGAAATCTTTAGGTTTAGCCTTTTGGCAGGAGAAAGCGCTTCTCCAAAATAGTATAACTTCGTTGCCTACTTTTAGTTATAACTGATCACATTCTCCTACGCAAACATAGATTTCTAGGTTTTCTCCTGCTATTTTTACTGACAGATGATGGTTCTAGGCAAACAGCGCAAGCAGAGACTATCTTTAGCCCTGGAATGTCTGCTCTGGCTATTCACACATGGCTTTGAATTGCCAAGGATTTCCTAGACACTTCGTGATAACCTGACTCTCCGCTATGCATAGTATGTATTTCTAAGTCATAAGTTATTTTCGTTTTGATAAGTCTACCCTTGAAAGGGAAGGGAGATCAGGATACAATCTCTTAAGGTAACTGTTCCAGAAAGGAAGGAACATTTTCTTTTAAAATGGTTTGTCAACTGTCATTTCCCATGAAACTCTGGATTACCAAATTAACAGAGAAGGGAACAGCATTTGTCAAACACTGCCTATGTGCCAAAAACTAATACTGATCACTTTATATAATTAGCTCATTATATCCTCACAATAGTTCCATAGGGTTTGAGTGTCTTCATCATTCTACAAATATGGCAACTGAGAGATAAAGTAACTTACCCAGTGCATCCAAGGACCTGTACTTGCCACTCATGATAACAATGAACCCAAATACCTACAAGTGGTTCTTTTTAACCTGATGTCATTATGTACTTACATAGCTTCTGAACATGTTGTCTGTTTCGCCAACAGGAATATTATTGAGCAGGACTACTGTAACTGTATCGACGCCTTCAAAAACCAACTTTACTTTACGCCATTTGCTAAAAAAAGAAGATTTTTAAAACAAGATGTATAGAACATTAACTTAGATAATTAGCCTTTTTTTATTAGTTAAGAACGAAAGGAATAAATATTTCACAGAAAATACACATTCTTAGAAGGGAGTTTGCAATGAAATTTTCAGAAATATTGCTTTAATACATTTTTATGTTGAGTGATCCAGTTTAACTTTCTTCAAAATATTTCAATCACCATAAAATCATGAGCATGACTTCTAATTTCCATGCATTGACTTGTTTCCTAGAACTTCACAAATTCTTATAAGAACCAAGTTAAATAATAGACATAAAACATTGTCACAAACTATTATATTTCCTAACACTAAGAGAACGCATTAACCAAGGAACAAGTATCTATGAGTAAACATTATGTGCCCAGCACTCTGCTAAGCCTTACAGGGAACTAAAACAGTCTCTGAATTTAAGGAATCTGCAATCTGATTAGCATTGAAGCCTAAAACACAGGAAACAAACAGAAAGCTTTCAATCTCTCCTACTTTGTGGTACAGTCTTGTTGGATAGACTACAAGTGCTATCAGAGTTTATGTCATAAGGAAAGACTTCAAGAAGGAGACAAGAGTTTAAAGAAGAACAAAATAAATAAAATGTATACCCATACAATAAAATAGCACTCAGCAATAAAAAGAAATGAAGTACTGGTGAACATGACAACACGGATGAGCTTGAAAACATTATTATGCTAAGTGAAAGAAGCCAGTCACAAAGGACCACATATTATATAATTCCATCTCTTTGAGATTTCCACAAGAAACAAATCCACAGAAATAAAAAATAAATTAGTGGTTGCCTAGGGCTCAGAGAGGGATGGGGGATGGAGGTGCAGGAAGTGGTGCACGATTGGCAACAGTAAGCAGCATTTTCACAGACAAGCAGAGAAAATTAAACTTGATCTGCCAATCGAAAGGAAGACACCGTCATTCTTAAGCAAGAATGTCATGGTAAAATCAAAATTCGGGAAAGATGAATCTTATGTTTCTGCATACAAAAGACTGGAGAATAATAAAGGCCTAGGCAAAGGCGGAAACTTGGAAATGAAGAGGCAGGGGCTGAATCAAGAGAAATGATAGGCAAAAATTAACAGGACTCAGAAACAGACCGAATACAGGGAGATGAAGAAAAGATATGATGAGCCAAAAACTCCTTGGGCACAGAAGATTGGGAAGAAGGTATTACAGTAAGAGAAATAACGAGGTTGCTAGAATATAAAGCAAGCTTTCAGTGGGAAAGTCAATTGGTTAAATTTCGGATATGTTGAGTTCAAGGTGAAAGAGGACCCCCTATTAGAGATATTTTAAGTATTATCTGGAAATAAGAGGCTGGAACACAGTAACTCCATGATAGTGAGCACTATTTTCTGGCTTTATTTCTTTTTTAAGAAGCTAGTAAATAATTACCCAAAAAAAGGTCATATTAAAGGGACAAAAGGGTTTTTTTTTTTAATTTAGCAATAATGGTGGTAGATACAATTGGGTTACATTCTGCTACATAGAACATTACTGAAAACTATACCATGGTTTTCCTCGTGACCTCACGACATAATCTAAGGCCAATGCCTTAGTTTCAGTGGCTGGTTAATGCTACACCAAACAAAGGATGTATCTCTGATCCTACTTGACAATATTGTAAATATATACGCTCTATGGATTACTAGGAGGGCAGGGAAAAGGAAAGGCAGATAAGAGAACTGACTAGGTCGAGGTGACTCCATTATAACCACTGGAAAAATGATTGAATAAGACATAATTTTGTGACTAATGATCAGTGGCACCACCCTCATACACAAATCAAAACATAAATCATATATATTCACTTTTATAGTACAGGCTTTAGTCTGACAATGTTCGGATAGGCAACCTAAAGAAACAAAAGATTATTGCAGACAGAAAAAGAACAAAAGTTCAAATAATAATAATAAATGGATAGATATAAATATAGATATACACACATAAGTACCTCAGGTCAAAAGGGATTTTAAATTTCTTGATATAGGTCCAGTTATCCAAGGCGATCCATCGGTAGTTAAGGTTATTAAATCTGTAGTAAGGATCCTGTTGATAAAAATTATGGTAGGTGATTAAATATGCAAAAATAATTAATTAAATAAACACGAAATAAACTATCAATGATAGCTATTTATTACCTAAAAATTAATGAACTCTTGGCCTAAGAGTGCAAGCATTTCGTATGCCGACACATCCCATCCTCAAAGCTAAAGCTCCATCTGTTTAAGAGCCCATTACCTTTCAAACAAAGTTGCCATGGCGTGAGCATACTAAAAATACTAAAAATAATTTTAAACGGAAAAAAAAGCCCAACACAATCAAAATACCTGAAATGAAAGAGCTCTGAGATACAACTATTACATAGTTTCATTATGAAAGAACATGTGCGGAGATGAAGATTGGCTTCCTCTGTTAAAACCAAGCACAGAACCTGCAAGGTATCAGCAGAGAATGAACGGCAGCACTTCTTAATGGTGCACAGCCATCAGACACTCACCGCCCTCTGGTTCTCACTTTGCGTTTTGCTGCCACTATCCCAGATGGCCTCAAGAGGAACACTTCTCCTCTACTGCCCAAAGATGAGCAAAACTCCCACTCCTTGGATTTACTCAGCATTTACAAAGTTATTTTTCACTCAGCTTTACTAAGTGAACACAGAAAGGATCTCTGCAGAGAATATACAGGCAGCATAGATACCGTCAAACTTACAAACTTCAGGTTTCCTATATTAGCCTAGACTAGGTCAGCAAACTACAACCCATAGGCCTAATGCAGCTCACTGCCTGTTTTTGTATGGCCAGTGAGCTAAGAATGGACAGGTGTCGATAAAGAAAGTTTTACTGGAGCACAGCCAGGCCCATTCCTTTATAAATTACATACGGCAGTTTTCATGCTACAATAGCAGAGTTGAGTAGACACGACAGAGACCAAGTGACCCATGCAGCCTAAAATAGTATCTGGCCCTCTGCCCTAGACAACTGGCCTGCTGGGTGTTCACAGATGCTCTTCCATCTCAGGGTACAGCCCCAAGTCCTCCCTTCCATAATCCTTACCTCTTTCTTCTCCTACTCATTTTGTACCCTTTACCTCTCAGATGAGGGCTCCCAGGCAGGAGGTGGAACAGAAAATGGTAAGAGAAGTTTCTCAGTTCTAATGTCTGTGAACAACACCACGGCTACATAGAGGGACACAGCACAGGCTCAGAGGGCTTCTCCTTTCCAACTGGGACAGGTCCAAGGGTGATTGCCTCAGGAACTGCAACTCCACGTTGAGAGGGAAAAGCCAACTTTGTCTCAGTTCCACAGAGGTAAGGGCTGGCCACTGGCAACAGCCAGCTGAGCACTTGCCCAGAGAACAAATCCGCAAGGGGCGCTATAACACCACGGGGTGCGTATCAAAATGGAGAGAAAGGCATCAGCCAGAAACGGCTCCTGCCTGGAAGAAATAATTTTGATAAGATACGAAGAGGGTGGGGGGACTTCCCTGGTGGCCCAGTGGTTAAGAATCCACCTGCCAATGCAGGGGACAAGGGTTCGAGCCCTGGTCCGGGAAGATCCCACATGCCGCGAAGCAACTAAGCCCGTGCACCACAACTACTGAGCCCGTGTGCTACAACTACTGAAGCCCGCGCACCTAGAGCCCGTGCACCGCAACAAGAGAAGCCACCGAGATGAGAAGCCCGCGCACCACAACGAAGAGTAGCCCCCTCTTGCCGCAGCTAGAGAAAGCCTGCGCGCAGCAACGAAGGCCCAACGCAGCCAAAAAAAAAAAAAAGATACCAAAGGAGCAGTCAGTGGTTGACAAGATTTAATAACAACTAATAGGGCTTCCCTGGTGGTGCAGTTGTTGAGAGTCTGCCTGCCGATGCAGGGGACATGGGTTCGTGCCCCGGTCCGGGAAGATCCCACATGCCGTGGAGCAGCTGGGCCCGTGAGCCATGGCCGCTGCGCCTGCGCGTCCGGAGCCTGTGCTCCGCAACGGGAGAGGCCACAACAGTGAGACGCCCGTGTATCGAAAAAAAAAATAATAATAATAACAACCAATAATCACCAAACTGACTTTTAAGGTCTGGTTAATGGTGAGCTTTTGTTCTGCTAAATGGGGTGTGCCAGGCCCAGCCCACTTGCTTCCTTTTCTTCTCTTCCCCACACGCAGGACTCAGCCTCTCCACTGAACATGGAGTAAATATTTAAGGACACGGGTTTGAAGAGGCACCTAGTTATTAACCTGCCCATATGTCTCCACCCAGCCCTATTTATAACTCTACACTGTGGACTTAATCCAATATATTTAAAAATATCATGACAAGAAAGGTGTGAAGGCTGATGCAGTTGCAAGATGTTAACCTGCGGAGCCTCAGGGCTGGGTGATGATCGGGCTTGTGGGGCACAAGACTCCTTCCTATCCCCCGGCTCCTTGAAGGAAGCTGCATGTCAAGCTCCAGAGGGTAATCTTCTCAGATAAATTTTTTCTAAACAAACAGAATTTAGAAGTTAAATATTTTCTCTTACTTAAAAGAAGCCAATCTGAAAAGGCTACAGACTGTATGATTCCAACTATATGATGCTCTGGAAAAGGCAAAACTATGGAGACAGTAAAAGGATCAGAGGGTACCAGGGATTAAGGAGGAAAGAAGGATGAATAGGCAGAGAACAAAGGATCTCTAGGGCAGTGAAACTACTCTGAATGATACTATGATGGTGGCTGCATATCATTATACATTTGTCAAAATCCATAGAATGTACAACACTAAGAATGAGCTGTAACATAAACTATGGACTTCTGGTGATAATGATGTGTCACTGTAAGGTTCACTGATGGTAACAAATGTACCACTCTGGTAGGGGGTGTTGATAGCGGGGCAGCTGTGCATGTGTGGAGACATATAGGAACTGTCTGTATTTTCCATTCAATTTTGTTATGAACCTAAAATTGCTCCCAAAAAATAAAATTTATTAAAAAAAATTGCTCTAAGGGCAAATGCCTACCTCCCTAAATTAAAAGTTGCAGAGACTCAGATTACATTTATAATAACTACTGCAAATGCTAAGCAACCAACTTAACTTGGTTCCAGAGTGGTCTGATCCCCTTTGCTCATATTAAAATTCTGAGTCCTATTTAAAGCAAATAGGACTACGTTCAGCATTACGTCTGACGACTAAGGACCCATGTAAGTGACTGAGTTCATAAGCAAACCCATGAACCCTAAAGACAGTAACAGTATCACTTGTTGACCATTTACTTTATATCAGCCTCCAAGATAGGCACTCATTCACTCTTATCTTCATAACAAAGATGTGCTGTAAATACCGTTCTATAGGGCTTCCCTGGTGGCGCAGTGGTTGAGAGTCCGCCTGCCAATGCAGGGGACACGGGTTCGTGCCCCGGTCCGGGAAGATCCCACATGCCGCGGAGCGGCTGCGCCTGTGAGCCATGGCCGCTGAGCCTGCGCGTCCGGAGCCTGTGCTCCGCGACGGGAGAGGCCACAGCGGTGAGAGGCCCGCGTACCGCAAAAAAAAAAAAAAAAAAAAAAAATACCGTTCTATAGAGGAAGAAACTAATGCTCCAAAAGGTGCAGTGTCTTTCCTGAGGTCCCATGATGAAGCAGAAGTACATCCAGGCATGAAACAAACTCAGTCCGACACCAAGGTCTACATTTTTTCAACTGTGCTTCAGTGCCTCACGCCATATTTACCTACTTTTGTGTGTGTGTGTATACAATTCCACTTTTAAAAATTTGTCCAAGAGAATAAGGATGTACACTAACTAAAATGTAGCTAAAAATATCTTCCCATCATTGCAGAATAAAATCTAAAAGTTATTCCCAATGGCCTGCAAGCCCTGCATGATCTGCCCCAGATGGCTACTTTGAAATCATCCACCTGCCCCCCAGGTCACAGGGCTACAGCCACCTGGCCTGCTTACTATTCCTGGAACTCATCAAGCATGTTCCTGCCTCAAGGGCTCTCCCCTCCTCACTGCCATCTTTTCTTCCTTTTTGCTGGGAATTCGCTTCCGCTTAAAACTGAACTCATCAAAAGATCTTTATCAAAATGGCTATCTTTAACCACCTTTTCTAAAATAGAATCTTTCCCAACAAGCCTTCGCTCTCTCTTCCTTTAACGTGCTTTATTTTTCTTCAGTGTACCCGCTGTCACTGTATTATCTATTAATCTGTTTATTGTCTATCTCCTCCACTAGAATGTCTATTGGGACAAAGACTTTGTTTTCTTCACCACTTGATTCCAAGCACCTGGAATAATGCCTGCCACATTGGAGGTACTGAATAAATATTTACGAGATAATTAGGTGAATGACTTCAGCAAGATATGTTTCAAGTTCTCATGTAAACACTGTATTTGGACCAGTGTCTGCTCTAAACTATAAAATATTTCCTAGGTCAACACCAAAAAGGGATGGTATAATAAAGCAGGTAATATAACAACATCATATTACTCCATAATGATACTTGATGATTATTGTCAATAGGCCTGGACTTCCCCAATCCCCAAAAGCTCCCCATCTCTCATCCCACTACCATTTAAGAACTACATCTACCTTTACTGAAACTTAAACTTTTCCTTAGAATTTATTAACAGATTTAACAGACATTGTAAATTGTTCCCACAAGGAAAAGTCAGTTATTTCCTTCTGTGAGCACATCATTCACATTAACGAGTAACCAAACATTGTTTCTTGTTATGTAGCCCTATAACATGAAACAGTAATCTGATTTACTACAGCCACTAATGATTTCCCATTGCCTTAATTTAATCAGGAAAATGAGGCAAGGAGAAACCCTGCAAAAGAAACACAGGCATTTTCAAAGCATGGGTAAGTGAAGCCTTGGGGTAACCAAGGTCACCTGTGGTCCATGTCATAAGTAGTTTGTTAACTAAAAATAGTTCAAATACTTAAGTCTGAGGATTCTTTACTTAAAAAATAAACAGGACCATGGTCAGTGTCATTTACATTTGCTTCCTTTCTGATACACATTTTTGAAAAAAGGCTAATTGTACCAGATCAGAAATTTTGCATAACCCTAGTTGACTGTCCTGTCATTTAAGTAAACTTCGAATTATATTCCTGACAGTCAACTCCAGTGCTTTAAAAACACATGATTTGTCAATGTGTCACACAGGGTAAGTGTCACACAGTACAGAAGGCTATGTAGTCAGGCCAGGCTGGGTTATAACTCCATTTCTTCCACTCTTAGTTGCTGTGTGATCTTGGGAAAATTCTCTAACTTCTCTGGGCTCCATAATTCATTCATCCATAAAATGAAGATAAGAAGACTTACTCTTTAGAGTTGTTACGCGGATTGGGACAATGCATGCAAACCGCGTATCAAGTACATCTTGTCCCAAGCAAAGCCATTAAAGATGTGCAGCAGATGGAAGGAAAAAGCAGTGGGAGGTGGCAGTCTGTTTGCAAACCTCTAACCACAGGCGGCCAAACAGGAAAACGTCCTCCACCAGAAGTCTAGAAATTGAAGCATCTATTGGGACACACACATCACATCACATCACACGCCCTGAGAGGAAACAGCATCTTTCTTCATATCCCAATCAGCATTAAAAATTATTTAGCCTGTACGCTAGCACTGACAATCCTACCCTTACACTTGCAGGTCTCATTCTCCTCAGCTTATGTGCTGCTGCATCAATTCCAAATCTGACTCCCTGGTGCCTAAAAGCGAAAATGAAAAACTGAGGCATTAATGAATACAGTTAACCCTTACTAGGCGAAAGACTATTGTCCTCTGCAGTGTTCGGGTAGTTGAAACAATAATCCCCCTCTTTAGGCTTTGTCAGTGACAACACGTCCTTTCTAATCTACGCTTCACTGGAGAACTATGGCAATAACACCCCCAGTAGAACTGTCTGGACCTCCGCTTTCCTGAGTTGCTGCTGTCCCAGCGTGGGCGTGGGTCAGCCTCCATCTAGCCCGGACCCCAGCGGTGATCTTCGCCAAGAGTAGATACATTGCCTCGGCGTCCCCATCCCCACCCCCTCACCACCACCACCCCTAGACCACAAGACGCAAAGGGGAAGTTAGTGCCAAACGGAGGAGAACAGCCCCGGGCTCGGGGACTGCCAGGCCGTTCCTGGGCCCCTCTCACCACGAGGGGGACGCGGGCGCAGGCTCCCGGCGGGGAGGCCGCACACAGTACCTGGATAAGCCTCTGGTGGAACAAGGCGCTGTGCACGCAACCGGGAACCTCCGCGGGCAACTCCAGCGAGCCGTTCCCGCTGCGGATCCTCCAGCTTCCCCGCAAGCTGACGCTGACCACCATGGCAGCGGAGCCCGCACCGCACAACGCAAGCAGCAGGAGCAGGCGGAGGAGCATGCCGGTGGCCGGTACCTCACCCACCCACGGGGGTAGAAGCCCCGCGCTTCGGAGAGCCGCGGAAGTGACCCTCTGTTCGGGAGGAGCCCGGGCTCTAGCTCTCCCCGCCCCGGGGCCCGCCCCCAGCTCCCGGCCACGCCCCCGCCTCTCGGCCACACCCCCGGGTCAGCTGAGCTGAAAGGACTTCAGCTGCTCCCCAGGCTCCGCAGGCTAGCTGGGAGCGCGGATATCGTGCCAACTGGGCGAAGCTCGGCGTCGCGAGTGTCGGAGCCGCCACCTCGTGCATGGTTCCGGGCTCGGACCGCTGCGGTCTGGGTCCTCCTCGGCTCTTATTCCAGCTGCTCCGGCGTCTGAACGGGAGGTGAGAACCGTGCACGCTAATTGGGACACACCAATCTCTGGACGCAAAGTGGCGCACAGCCTCGGGGAGCTCAGGGACAGACAGTAGTGTGCGGAAACTACAGCAAGAGAGGCTCCTCACTGCTTCAGAGAACCGAAAACCAAGACACCCCATCACTTCAGTTCCCCCCAGTTTCCCCACACTCTCATCAGTGCTGCAGGTGTCTGCCCGGCGCGAGTAACGCCCACCTCCGGCAGCTCTGCAGGTTTGTCTTAGAACAGTCTGCCCTTCAAACAATAAATAAGTACTAAAGTACCTAATTCGTACGGTTGTTGTGAGAGCTGAGAAAATCCGTGTACAGTGTGCAACATAAGGCCCGGCCCAGAGAAAACACAGCACTTTGGCCTGATGTTAGTGGACTACGACCTTCTGTTTTATAAAGCTCTGCAGAGGAGGTTCCTGAGATTCCGGAAACCTGCATTAATGCGCAGGCAAATTTAAAATCCTCTGCCGCTCACTAGCTGTGGGACTTGGACAAGCCACAAACTCTCTAATACCCCCGTTCCCAGAACTCAAAATTGGAGACAGTACTCCTTTTTGGGGTTGTGATAAGCATAAAATGAGTTAACATACTTGGCTGTTCCTAACAATGCCTAGGTACCCAAGAAATACCACAGGTTTATTTCAAGTCTCATAGTGGCGCAGTCTACTTGAGTCCCATTTTTGCAATAGGATGTAACTGCGATCTGGGAAGTTAAGAGGGAATTTCGCATTGCATAAAATAGACTAACGTATGACTGTGTTGATGTTATCTACCTTATTTCTGTATTTAAGCAGAAGTCTTTGAAGAGAAGTTCTCCCCCCCATTAAATCCGAGCTTTGTTTCGCCTTAGAATGGCCCTGGAATTGCCTGAATCTGTAGACACTGGACAATATTTTATTTTTTCAGAGTCAGCATTTTTCACAAGCCTAGCTAGCATCTTGGCTTTAGGGACATTTGGATTATTCAGCCCAAGCCTCTGGCTTTAAAGCTGAGGGAACAGGGTCCAAAGAAGTCAGGTGACTTGCCTGTCAGACAGTGGCAGACAGGACCCAAACTCTCCTTTCCAGGCCCATAGACTCCTTGCAGTAGAGCCCAGTGATATTAAGGGGGAAAGGCTCTGGCTGGTTCAAAGGTTTCCTCACTCCAGGAGCATTTTACTTTTGATAGGAACAGAGTTCTCAATTCAAATTATACTCCCTGATTCATGGCATTAAATGGCCAGCCCTAGTCTGTTCAAAACTGATAACAAGACTTACGGCAGCAAGAGTGGCAAAGAGTTTTTGTTTGTTTTTTCATAAATCCCAGAGATCCCATTAAGTCAAAGGAAAATTCATTCCTGTGAATATGTTTGGATATACTCTGTTGTTCTATTAAGAAATATTTTAGGGAATCTATTTTTTTAAAAAAACAAGAATAGAGACTTATCATTCCTCCTTTCATTCCAAGACACAAGTATGACATCATTTGAATTACTTCACTTTGAAAACATACATTGGTCCAAACCCATAGAATGTACAACACCATGAGTGAACTGTAATGTAAGCTACAGACTTTGGGTGATAATGATGGTAGGTTCATCGATGATAACAAATGTACCATTCTAGTGGGGGGATGTTGATAATGGGGGAGTCTGTGCATGTGTTAGGGCAGGGAGTGTATGGGACATCTGTATTTTCTATTCAGTTTTGCTGTTAATCTAAAGTTCCAAAAAATAAAAATTATATATATATATATATATATACACATATATACATGTATGTATGTATATTCATGGGTCAAAGAAAGAAAAGACTTCCAGTTACTGTTTTGTCATGTCAGGAGCTTGCAAGTCATCACTCCATCCTAAAAACAAGTAAAAAGCTGAACAAACTGAAAATCAACAGCTTTTGTTAGATCTGTCAGAGAATTCAGGTGAAAGGGCAAACTGCTGCCCCCCAAATTGGAGAAAAAGACAGGTGCATACAGAGAATCACAACTTAACCAAAGCAGAAACCCATGAGTAGAAAGCTCTGCGAAAACCAGTACTAGGGAAGGAAAATCTAAACTTTAATTTCTGGGACTTCCCTGGCGGCCTAGTGGTTAAGACTCTGCATTTCCACTGCAAGAGGCACAGGTTTGATCCCTGGTTGGGGACCGCATGCCGCAAGGCCAAAAAAAAAAAAAACCCACACAAAATAAAAACAAAAACAAACAAAAAACCTCTAATTGTTGAGCGTCTGGAGGCTCAGTGTGGACGAATTTGAGAGTTTAAAAACTCCACAGGGGACTTCCCCGGTGGTCCAGTGGTAAAGAATCCGCCTTACAATGCAGGGGACTCGGGTTCCAACCCTGGTCAGGGAACTAAGATCCCATATGCCGCGGAGCAACTACTGAGCTCGTGCACCTCAAATAGAGAGAAGTCCCGGCGCCGCAATGAAAAAGATCCCGCATGCCTCCACGAAGATGCCGCGTGTTGCAACTAAGACCCGACGCAGCCAAAAATAAAAATAAATAAATAAGTAATAAATAAATCTTAAAACAAACAAAAACTCCACGGGAATTCAGTCTTAGTGGGTCTCCCACAGCTTTGTGTTTTGTTTCCAGAAGATCTACCAGCTCTCACATTGAAGATTTGCGAGCAATTCCCTCATGCTTCCAGCAGAGGGACGGGGATAAGGAACCATTTTGAAATACATGATAGCATTCTCAAGAACTACCCTCAAGAGAAACGATTTTATCAGAGCCTAACCTGGGAGAAGGGAAGTTCCTCCTAGCCTTCTTGCCTTACCTAAGGGGCTAAAAAAAAAAAGAAGCATTTATTAAATTCACATTCCAAGACACAAGTTCACTAAAAGGCTAAAGCCTAATCATCAGACTATAGACAGCTTCCCCTCTCCTCATATCTTCCCACTATATCACTAAAGGCCTCTTTGCCACTGTTCATTTCACTGCACACATCACGTATGGCTTTCAACAAAAAATTACAAGGCAAAAAGAGACAGAGCAAGCCCTAGAACCAGACTCAGATATAGCAGGGATGTTGGATTACCAGGACAAGAATTTAAAATATTAGGCCAGCACTGGTCTAATACCAACACCAGACAAAGACATTACAGTAAAAGAGAACTATAGACCAATATCTCTCATGAACATAAATGGAAAACTCCGTAACAAAACAGTAGCAAATTGAATCCAAATATATACATACATACATATATATATATATATATGGGATTTATCCCAAGTGGGATTTATTCTGGGTATGCAAGGCTGGTTCAACATTCAATCAATCAATGTAATTCATCACAACAATAGGTTAAAAAATAAAAATCACATTATCATATCAATAGATACAGAAAAAACACTTGACAAAGTCCAGTACCCGTTCATGATAAAAACTCCACACACTAGGAATAGAGGGGAACTTCCTCACCTTAGTAAAGAACACAAAGAACTACACCTAACATTACACTAAATGGTGAGAAACTAAAAGTTTTTCTGCTAAGATCAGGAATAAGGCAAGGAGGTCTCCTCTTTTCACTCCTTTTCAACATCATATTGGAAGCCCTAACTAATGTAGTAAGAAAAGAAAAGGAAATAAATAGTATACAGTTTAGGAAGACATAAACCTATCTTTGTTTGCAGATGACATGATTGCCTATGTATAAAATCAACAACAACAACAACAACAAAACACTGGAAATAATAAGCAATTTATAGCAAGGTTACAGGATACAAGGTTAGTATACAAAAGTCTATCATTTTCCTATATACCAGCAATGAACAATTAGAATTTGAAATTAAAAACATAATGCTATTTACATTAGCACCCCCCAAAATAAAATACTTAAGTATAAATATAACAAAAATGTTTAAAATCTACATGAGGAAAACTACAATACTCTGATGAAAGTAATCAAAGAAGAACTAAATAAATGGAGAGATGCTCCATGTTCATGGATAGAAAGACTCAGTATTGTCAAGATGTCAGTTCTTCCCAACTTGATCTATAGAGTCAATGCAATCCCAGTCAAAATCCCAGCCAGTTATTTTGTGGATTTTAACAAACAGATTCTAAAGTTTATATGAGAGGCAAAAGATCCAGAATAACCAACACAATATTGAAGAAGAACAAAGTTGGAGGATTAATGCTACCCTATCAGGAACTAAGCTGAGCTGGAAGAGAGATCTGAGCTGTCAGGAGTCAGAGCAGCCAATTAAAGCAACAAGGAGCCAAACTGAAAGTAACAGTGAAGACTTCAACCACTTACAGTGATAGTATAAGCAAGAGGCTAAAACTGGAGAAGACGCCAACTCTCCCCTGTTTCATTGCCCAATAAAATGGCACACCAGTCACGGGTCAGGTGGATCAGCACAGATGTGTGCGTTGTCTCACGTTGAGAGAGTCCTGAACAAAAGGCTCTGGCTGTTTTATGGGCCCTGGGGTAGGGGAGGAGAATGAGGAGGAAGGGCTAGGAATGGAAAATTGCTGGGTACTGAGTTTGAGTAGGAATAAATGTATTCAGGGTTTCCCACTTCTCCTCTCCAATAAGGAGATCTCAGTACAGTCACCCGAAGATAACCTTTGCCCAAGGCCTCAGATAAAGAGAACAAGGAATGAAGTCAATGAAACTAGGAATGTAAATATGTGAAGAGCATGAACAGTCAGAGGGGTAATAATAGGTCCTTCACTGCAACTCCCTTT